CCTGAGGGTCATCGACAGTTGAGCGGCCTCAGCGCTTCATCTAAGAATATTGTTCGTGATATAACGGATGCTTAGGTGGCCCCGGCAAAAATTATGGCCGCGCTGAAGGAAGAGAATCCGGGAGACAACGTTCATGTGCGACAGGTATATATATTTATATCTTGTAATATATATTTTAATTAACTTTTTGAAGTTAATTATGATAATTAGTAATTTTTTATATCTAAAAGTTATTGTAATAGTTAATAAAAAATTTTATATTTACTAATGTATTATTATTATGATAGTTAATAATTTTCTTATGACATAAATTAACTAATATATTTTTTTATTTATTAATATAATAATATTTTTGTTTTAAATTATAATAATCATTATAATTAACGCTAATCAGTGACAGGTATATAACTTTAGAGATAAGCTGCAGAAAGAGAGTTTCGAGGGTAGAGATGTTCCTTCCCAGCTTATGCATTTGGCCATGAGAAACGAGTATACAGTTTTTGCAGAATCTGATCCGAACACGAAAGCGTTGACGCATATATTCATGGTCCATCCTGCATCGGTCAATCTATTCCGGACATATCACTGGTATGTCGGCATAGATTCCACGTGTAAAACCAACAGGTATGTTACTTTATAAATACTTTGTTAGTATGAGTTTTGAATAGTGTGTTTGATTAAGTTTTATGTGATTATATTTTTTGTCTTCTTGGTCTCATTTGCACAGGTACAAGATGCCATTGGTCGAGATGATTGGGATGACACCGTGCAACCAGAACTTCCTAATTGTGTATGCGCTCATCAGGGACGAGAAAGAGGCCAGTTACGACTGGGTTCTACATAAGTTGAGAGTTCTGATAGGCCAAGGCGTATATCCTAATATGGTTGTCAGTGGCAGAGAGTTGGGTTTAATCACTCCTATTCAGAGGCATTTTCACGAATCATCTCACTTACTCTGCACGTGGCACATCAACAAGGATGTGGAAGACAAAACCTACAAACTCTTTGGGAAGAGTAAAAAATTCTCGCAGATTTTCACGCACAGTACGTGGAAGGCGATTGCGGAGGCCAGTATGTTCGATGACTACAACGATGCCGTTGCCGAGCTGCGCGCAAAATACTCGAAGTCTCCACAGGTGGTACAGTATGTGGAGAACACATGGTTAGGGCACAAGGAGAAGTTTGTGAAAGCTTGGACCAACCAGGTGACACATTTTGGAAACACAACTTCTGTAGGGTGGAGAATGTCCACTCTGTGTTGAAGCAGTGGCTTTACACGTCCACCGGCGCGCTCGATACAATTTGGCAGAAGATTAATAAGCAGATTGATTATCAAGTGACTAAAATCAGGTGCATACTGCAATTTTTAAATGCGTTATTATATTACTGCATTAATTATAATCTAATGTTATGTAATGTATAATCAGGTCGGCGCTTGAGGCTTTGAGATCTAAGAAGAGTACACGGTATAAGGGAACCCTTTTCGAGAGCGTGATACTTAGGGTCTCGATTACCGCCTGAGTTTATTGGACTCTGAGCTTACGAGGATGCATGACTTGAGCATCGATGTTTACGATAGCTGCGGCTGTGTACTGCAGATCACTTATGGACTTCCTTGTGCCTGTCTGCTCCATACCGCATATGATTCTAAAATTTCAATTGATCTCGGAATGATTCACCAGTACTGGTGAACGCTACAGATGTTAGAGTCAGGTAATTTAAGGTTAATGTTTTATTTATAATTTTCTACTTGTTGTTTCATTTTTAATTACAATTTATGTAATTAAAGTACATTATTTGGTTTAATTCATTGAATTTTTTATTGTATATTTGTACGGACTGGTCATCAGAGCCAGGCGAGCCAGGGTGCATCGTCAGATGCAGAGTTCTTTCGGACGCTTGTGAATGAGGTTGAAACAGGCGATCCCGCGACGATGCGGTACATGAATCAGTTCATGTACAATTATCTTTACCCAGACCAACAGGATTATTCGGAACCTGAGGTTAAGGAAAACCCGCGAGGTCGTCCTAAGAAAACTAATTCAACTAAGCGTAAACCATCTGCTTGGGAGTACAACGATAGATCGCGAGGTCGGAAATTGAGCCGTACGACCATTTCTTCGCGTGGACAGACAAGCTTGTCTTCTCAACAGTCACAAGGGGAAGCAGATGATACATTTTTTTTTTTTTAAATATGGCTGAATGTTAATTAAAGTATTTATATGATTATATAAATTGTGACGTGAAATTATTATGATATTGCAGAGATTAGACCGACAAATATTTTTGATTTTACAATGTGGCAAAATGTCTCCTGGCTATGTTGGACTACGTAGTGAGTTACCTAAATGTGAAGTCAGATGGTAACTGCAGATTTCGGGTCATCGCGATTTACGTGTATGGTAACCAGAAGCTCTGAGCAGTCGCAAGAGACAACATTGCGAATGATGTCGACAGCCACCGTACCTTGTGCGAGTACATCTATTTTAGAGATATCGACACCGGACTCCGTCGAGTAAGGTGGGATGGGGACCCTTGTGGACAAACTCACTGGTTCGATGTTCCACAGGACCTCTACCCTGTTGCAACCCTATTTAATGCGGTTGTCGTTCTGTTGGGCTCTGGTCCGCGAGGTGGGCAGCACGACATGTTCAGCATCACAGTGTTGCCTCTCTGTGCATGATCATCGGCTAGAGGACCATGTCGTGAGATTGTCATGTGTCATCTTGGTAGCTGCGAACACTACATTCGTTTAGATTTGACTCCTGATTGTCCATTACCGCCTATTCTTCCCATGTGGTTCACTCACCGAGATCCATCTGTTGTGGATTGGGAGAATCAGTACCAGGCTAGGTTGCAATCGTGGTTTACTGTTCAAACTAGACCTTATTGAATAAAAGAACGATATTTTTCGGTTCAACAAAAGAACGATATTATTCAGTTGTGGTATGACGCTTCTCATTCAACTTAAGTTTAGCAAATAAAAAAAAAATGAATCAGTTCAACTTAAGTTTAGCACATAAAAAAAAA